GATTATGGAAATTATAGCTTTTTGATAGGTTTTATATGCCTTATAAAGTGAAATTCAAAAAACTCACCCCTCGCAATCTCGGCCTTCATAAACTCCACCCCATCTACGATGACAATGTGATTTTTCTCATTCTCAACATTGTCAAAAAGTTGCAAACCATCTCATACATCACGGGGTTTATATCGACTGAGGTGACGTTTATCTAAATTTTTGAGTGCTTAGTATAGCTAAAAAGCTGAAAGTATCTGCAAAAATCCACCCCCATTTGGATAGCCACAGCGTCAACAAGGTTGTTCAAAGAATCCCCCGCCCCCACAACAGGAAAAGCACGTTGCCATCGGTGTTTTCTGAAACCGAGGCTACGATTCAGGGGCCTAGAAAGGCAAAAATAAAATCGTTTCGCTGGGTAAGAAAATTCAGGGAGATAGCTAAGAAACATCAATAAGTCGATTTAGCTGCCGAACAAGGTAAATATTTGAAAAAAAGGCAAAAAATTAAGGTAGACATTTGCGCGGAATTACATGTCGTAATGCGCTCTGGGGAACCCAGTTAAGTTAAAGTTAAAGTTAAAACAGTTAGAACAATTAAAATAGTCTGAGGATTCCAAAACTGGCATCAAAATTAGCAAATTCACGCGCTTTAACGTCCAAAAATGGGCTAAGCAACGTGGCGCGCGGTCGAGTTGCGGCCTTGGGTGGCTAGTTTCCAGGTTGACTTTCCAGCCCTTTTAATTCCCTCTCAAAACCGACCATCATTCGGTAGTGCCTGGGAGGCGAAGATGCCGGCCACCACCGGAAACATGTAGCCGATCGGCTGGACGAACGTTTTGTTGATGCTCCAGCTGACCGTGTCCAGATTGGCCTCGGTGAATTCTGGAAAGGATACGTTTGGCTTTTTAGAGTTTATAGTTTTCTTACGTAACGTTAAATATGAAACTAGCTGGTAATTTTAAATCCCAGAAAATTAAACTTGCCGTCGGGGATGTTCAAAATAGCCTGCGAAACGGCGACGGTGCCAAACCCGAAAATATAAATACCCCGGACTGGGCGATCACTAAATGAAGCTGATACACTTTTAAAAAGGCACTTACCCCACAGTAACCCCGCCAAACGTGTCCTTAACGTAGAAGCAAGCTTCATCCCCGCAGAATACTCCACGATCCGCCCCATACCAGCCGGTTTTGTCTGGAGTACGTTTACAACAAAGTTATTTATTTTTACGCGCCTGTACTTTCCCCAAAAATTCGTCTCGCGTCATCTGTGCCGGTGCAGCCATTTTCGGTGTCAATTCGCCGACAGTCACGGTTGAGTTTTCAGTGGAATTTGTTTGATTTCCGCTCCGTAGTTCATCGCTGATCGAGGCTGACGGATCCCAATATTGGTGTGCGATTAGGGCCTGGAAAAAATGCGATACGATCATTGTCACTATTTCTTTAAAGAGGTGAAAGGTCAATAATCAACCAGCCCCACGCGACCATAAGAAACCCATGAGCAATTCGTTTCCCGGCTAAAAATACCCCCTGCTAAGAGTCCAGTACCAAAAAATCTCACTCAGCAATCCGCCGAATGTTTGTGCGGAAATCCCCTTACGACTAGGGACTCGAAGTGGGAACTTACGGCAAAGACAAAGACGATAGCCGCGTAGGGGGCGGAGGGCAGAGTGAGAGAGTGCAGACACGACGAAGACGCTCGAACAGCCGGTTCGTTTCACTTCAACCACCATCGCATACAGGTGAGCAAGCCGAAGCAGAGAAGCGGAAGCCGGTACTTTTTGTCACTGCAAAATTGACTTGGAAATACTTGAAAAAGGACATCATTAAATGAGAACGCTGTAACGAGATCAAGCCGTTGCAAGGATTTCGCGCCGGGGATTTCAAGGAAAAATGCTATTTAACTGGGTAAACCTCGAAACCCCGAATTTTCGTATTTTTGCGGAAGGTGTTCCTTAAATACACGATGGTTTTTCGATATGAACTTTATACAATATTCAGTGAGTTCCCACCCGAAAACATCCGCTAAGGAATCCACAAAAATAAATCAAGGTAGAGCCAACAAAATCGACGAAATCAGATGGAAATAACTTTCTTGAAAAATATGATAAAAAAGCTTCTTCTCGGTTTTATAAGAGCTTTCTTATAGTAGAAAAATCTTTCCTATCTCGGCCGTTGAAAGACTCGCAAAATCAAAATTAATAAAAACGCTCATAACCGGAATAATACGTAGTAAGCGCGGTATAATATTCATAAACTCGGGCAAGCTGGATTCAATCGTTCATGCTGCGCCTCCTTCGTTTCACCCCCTCGAGCATGAAGAGTGGTTCTCGCTGCAAAGAGGAGGAGAGGACCGGGTTTCGGGCTAACCGCCCGATCCCCTTGACACCACGTGTTTTTGCACCTTCTCCTACACCTCATTTATCTGCGGAGGCCGTGGATCGGACATCCAAGTGGAATATGTGTTTTTTGAGAAATCTAAGTGACCGGGGTGGCAAGCGAGGCCCCGGACTAACTGAGGAAAACCACGCACTTGCGAAATACCATAATCCTTCGAACCAGGTAGGACTGGCCACAGCAACTACTGGGTGTCCCAAAAAAAAGCACCCCCCTCTAGCGGTCCGGGGGAAGCTCAGATCGGGATAATTTTTATACCATTCGAAAGCTCTCGGAAAGGCGAGAAAACAAGCGGGATTTATTTTATGAGGTTTATTTTTATACGCTGGATATTCAACGTTTTTCTAAAAACAGGTAGATTTTCAATAGGAATTTCGTGGTCTAGCATGCCAGATCTCATGAGAATCTTCCGTTTTCATGGTTTTTGGACGTAAAATTTGCTAGTAAAAATAGATAATATAAGAAAATGAACCCTCCTTGTTTTCTCGCCTTTTCAAGAGCTTTCGATAGATACCTAAACGATGAAAATCTGACACGACTGCGCGCCGCTAGAGGGGGGTGCTTTTTTTGGGACACCCTGTAGAGTCAAATGCAAATGCAATAGAGGTGTAGCCATGACCTCGCGAGTAACAATGCTATGGTGGGGAATATTTGGTTTTTAAGATATCTACTATACAACGACGTCAAAAAAGTGCATATTCTCGTTTTGAAGGGGCGACCAAAAAACGATGTGGGTGTTAAGGTATCTCGTATACAAATGCCTCCAAAAAGCGCATGCCGTAATTCCTCTGATATACCCCAGAAGCCTTATAGCTTTTTTCTCCGTTTCGTTTAGCAGATTTTGATCACAGATTAGGGACCCCCGTGTCCGATTCTATCAATTCCACTCTGTGCCGTGTCGATTTCCCACGGGCCGATCGTGGACTTCCTTTGTAAGTTGGAGACTTCGGTAGCGGGTGCCGAAAGCTAAGGACGGCCCCCCGCTCTCGCGGGGGTCCAAGGCAAAGAAAAAACACGGTAACTATGGTCGCACGCTCAGACCTTTGGCCCTGATGACCCTGACAACTTGAGCTTTGTATGACTGCATGCTGCCGAGACGGCCACGGAACAGGGCTGCGAATCGGGGTTTGTGAATGACTTATCTGGACAATAGTGCCTATATCTACCGAACGCCTTTTCAAACACGATTGTCTTTTTCGGAAATTAACTAGAATATTAATGCAGGATATATGCCGATCGATGCAATGTCATAGCGCATCACCTGTCGTCCAGATGGCAGGGAAATTGGATGCTATGCAATCTTTTTGATAATGCTTTTATGCGCCTTTTTGTAATTTATGTTTATTTGGCATCGTGATATCCCAAGAACGACCGATGCCGCCTCTTATCCGATCGGTCTCGGAATTTGTTCAGCGGGGTACCCCCGAGCCGCCCCCAGATGCCTCCGATTTTTTCGATTCCGATCCGATTAGATTGTTTTAGGTAGGTATCTATTGAAATCCTGAAAGCCCTCTACAAGCTGAGGAATTATGTGCTTCCGGGTTTTCGAAATTACGAAACTTTTTGCTCGACTTTCGGCATTTTTCATGCCAAGTTACGCGTTTTTTCATTCCATTCCATTCCATTCCATTCCATCCCAGCCAAGCGATAAAAATGGCTGAATTTTTATTTTGTAGCAAACCCTTTTTTGCGGAGAACCATCCAGAAATTCAGCCAATTTCGCAAAAATTCCGGAATTTCGAAACTGGAAAGCACATCTTGCCTCAGCACGTCGAAAGCTTTCGATAGATACCTATATCGTAAAAAACATAACGCCGTCTACCTAACAACAATACAACAGCAGTTATAGGCGCTGTAAAGGTGTCCCACAAAATTGTTCCCAACTTCGGCTCTTATAACTTTTGATTGAAGTATAATCGACCATGCGTTACCATGTCTGAATGCTAAAATCGGTCGGGAAAGAGGAAAAACCCAACTTGATTTTTTTCGTTTGTCGGCGATAACCATACAAATGACACCCGAAAAATGCGCGTTCCGAAAATGTGCTTTGCAGTTTTCTGACGTTCCAGTAGTGGAGTCGGCCTAACCTTTGGAGGAGAGAGAGAGAGAGAGAGAGAGAGAGAGAGAGAGAGAGCTGCTAGTAGTACATACGTGTACACGCAGCTAGTAGTAGTAGTAGTAGTAGCTATGTACACGCAAAATATCAAATTTTATGAACCAGGAAAAGTGGATTAAACCACTTTTTAATAAATACAATATTAAACTTTGATCCGTCAGAAAACTCGACGCACACCTTAAAATATTCTGAGGTCTTGCCAAGGACTAGCATCTATTTACCCTCGAAAAATTAGGCCGACCCCACCACTGGGACGCCGGATGACTGCAATGCACGTTTTTCGGAACGCACATTTTTCGGCTTTATGGGTGCGTCGCCGAAAATTGAAAAACCGAAGTTGGATTTTTTCCTCTTTCCCGACATATTTTCGCATTCCGACATGGTAACGCATGGTCGATTATTAAAGTTATAAGAGCCCAAAGTTGGGAACAATTTTGTGGGGCACCCGGTCGGTCAAGGTTGCTGTTTCAATACGCCTCCTGCGCAAAGTTGGGGACTGTCTAGATTCAAGGCGCCCAAAAGCCGCGGGAGTCGTTTTGGGGCCACCCTGTATACAGCATTTGGTTTTTTGATCATTTGTTCAGGAATTTGAGACCTGTTCGGTGAACAGTCCGGAGAAGATGCCGTTCAACTTCCCACGAACTGAGCCTTTCCACTTTGCCGGGTTGTCGGGAGACCAGCATCGACTCGTCGTGAAGAAGCTGGCCCCCAGTTCGTCCCTGAAGTTACTAACCGTCGATCGAGCAAGCAGGTAGAAGAATTCTAGCACAGCTTTTTTTGCTCACTCTTCCCAGGCAAATTCTTAGATGCTGTTGTGAATATGCATTGTTTGAGAATAATGCTCGCCAAATGTTGTCGAAATTTAGAAAACTGCTCCTTGCGCTGGGCCCGTTCTCTGGAAATATCAGCCGACTGACCTACTGTATATACCAACGTCCCGGCACTGTAAGCACCCCTAAACGCGAATTTCACCCATTCGTTTTGAATTCCAACCACAACCTTTACTCAATAATCACAGGGTATCACCGCCGGAAGCTTCATCACCATTGAAATTGATGCCGTAGAGTCGGTGTTGGTCACCCCCAGCGCAATACACCATCCAGTCTATAAAAAGTATGTTTTGAAGGGGTTGTCTACGGGCCCGGAACCTATTTTAATATGAATCGGCAGTGATCATAAAATTATAGGTTGAAAAAGGTAAGATTCCAGATAACCCGGCCCCCCAGCCGGTCCCAACTTTTGTTTCTCGGCTACCTGTTCATGGACAGCTGTGTAAAGTATGTTAAAATGTTCGTCTTGCTCTGGCGAGCATTTTGGTATACTTTAAAGACATGTAAACAAACAGGGAGCCGATATACAAAAGTTCGGGGGGGGGCGGCTGGGGGGCCATCTGGAGCAGCCTTAAAATCTGGTCCACGGCCCCATTCTGTGATTCCTGGCAAATAGCCAGTTGCGACCGCGCCGCATGATCTTTTGCCCCTGTTTGGACGCGAAAACGCTTGAATTGAAAAATTCTGATGCTATTTTTGGAATCCTCAACAAATTTTGATCAGACTCTTAAATTATCAAAATTGATCAGGGTATCACTGATATCGAGAGATTGGGTGCCTTACAAGGCATTACGACATGTAATCCCCGCACACTCAAAAAGTCGTTTTCGCCCCGAGAACATTTCGGGTTTACTCAGATTTTATGTTTTTTCGCATTCAAATCACTTTTCTGGAACTTCTAGGCAGTGACTCTTTCGTTTTTTGCCCAATAGGTTCAATCCCCGGACGCAAGAATTTTGACTTCGAAGCCCATTTAAAAAATCAAATCGGCTTCTGTTTAGCTGCCACTACTTTCCTCATCTATGCGGCGGAAGCCATCGATTCCTCTGGCGATTGCTGGAATCAATACGACGACCGAAGCACTTCGATATCTATGCTACAAATTGGGGCAAAAGGTTGCCAAGACGGGAGCGGCCGATGGGGGTCAGTTAGAGGGTTTCCCAAAAAAGACTCTCTAACGGTTCGGAGGAGCGTTTTTGCGGAACACCCCTCTTTAGAAGTCAGGTTTTGCCGAGGTTTTAGGCGACTCATTTGCTCTGCGTGAAACTTTTCTTACTTTGTAATCTTAAATTTTGATTAAATAATATAAGCATTTAGAATTTTTATAGTTAAGAACTTTTTCTAATTCGAATGGGATGTTTCATTAGTACCGGGTCGCTTCTTTAGACATCTTTGGGAGTCTGGAATAGCACGAAAATGGCGAAGTTAACGCCAAGAAAAAGGGTCCATTTTTCGTTAATTTTTTCCAAATCGAATTGAGTAGCTCATTCCATCGAGAAAAAAATTCTGAACACCATGGCAGGGTTTGTTTTTGGAAGATCGCGCCGGAAGGCCAGAGCATTCGCCGTCGGGCGGTCAGAATTATAACATTGCAAAATTTTGAATTTTTTAGACTTTTTCATTCCAATTCGGGTGTATGGAAAATGAAGAATGTTATGGGATCATAAATTTCAAAGAGTCAGGCGAGTCGCGGAGCGGCCTTTGAACCCTGGTTAAAATTAAGTTTCTCGCGAAAAACGGGGGGCCGCTCGATGTCAAGGGACGATTAGCATGTATCAGAAGCTCGGGAAAGCGTTTGGTGTTCGAAAACCACAGGCCCAAATTTTATGAAACTTCGCTTCTCCCAAATTTTGATACAAAGAATCCGATCCTAAAGTTGAAATCAGCTGAAAATTTGATTTTAGTGGTCAAAATTGGGTTTTTAAAAAATCGGTAAAATGGACTTTTCCTGAGGGATTTTCGGGTTTCAAAAATGTGTCCATCGTGTTTGCAAGTAAATTTGGGCATGTGGTTTTCGAGCACCAAACGATCTCCCGAGGGGACATCTTTTTGACAGCTACTGTCTAATGGGTTAGAGGGTGCCGGGGGGATAGGGGTCGAAAATCGCGAAGCGTGTGGATAAAAACTGATCTTTAGTGGAACGACGGTCACAACCTCACTGACCATTTACGATTGGGGGCTGCCCTTGTGCAGACCATCGCGATTGAATGGCTGAGCCAGCCGCCACGCATGACGCCATTCACAGAAAACCTGGTAAGCGAAAGGCCGAGCGACTACCGCCAAAAGTTTCAGCGAAACAGGCTCAAATAAAAACTCTTTTTAACGACGCTCGGTCGAATGGCGTTCAGAAAATCCCGAAAAATAAGCGAAAATATCGGCAACTTCGAGACCCTTCGGCTGTGGCGGGGGAGGTTGGGGGGGTTAAAGGAAACTCTTACCAATTCATTTATTTGTTATTTTTCAATTTGTTAGTATATTTTTTGACGCGCTATCGGATCGCACTAGCGAAATCCCAAAGCAATTTAAAATGTTAGAAATCCGCGTAGAAAACCCGCTCCGCGGGCCTTGGGCGCTGGAATGGGGTCCAGGCATCAAAAATTTGAGCGGTGACGATTTTCTAAGAACCGCGATTCCGGGAACTCCCGAACATACCGTATTTTCGCGGATTGCGCGGAAGGACGCGGATTTACGACATATTGTGCCTTGTTTAGCATTTTTAATTATTCTCTCTTTAATCACTCGCAAAATTTTAATTTACACCCAGTCCGTGCCTAAAAATAAGGCCTCGTGCCACCCAGGGCCTAGTCGCTTCGGATGGGTGCGGCCCACCTTGCCTGACGTCCATCATAAAAAAAACTGTTGAAAAATACTTAAAACGTCAAATAGTGTGGAAATTTCTGTCGACATGAGCACAATTTGAGGATTCTGATACGTGGGGCAAGATGGGCCGTCGCTTCGCATGGGTTGCCGCTCCACTCTCCCGACTCCTGAGCGCTTCGCGCTGCTCGGGCGCCCCCATTGCGAAGCCCTGTACGAGCTCGCACCCATCCGAATCGACTAAGCCCTGGGTAGCAAAGCCTTTTTTTAGGCACGGACCGGGGGTGTAAATTAAAATTTTGCGAGTAATTAAAGAAAAAATAATTAAAAATGTGAAGTAAGGCGCAAGCTGTCGTGTATCCGCGTCCTTGTGTGTTTTGTGTTTTTCACATGATACAAATTATCCCTGGCGGACTCGAAAAACCAGTAAAACCTGCTTTAACTTTGTTAACTTGCATATTTTCGGAATTCTGAAGACGCAATCGCAAAGAGGAGGGTCGTCTATGCCAACTGATGGAGAATTAGGGCAATTTATCCAGGGGAGGGCCCTCAAATCCGGATTCGGACGTGACAGCCGGACACACACACACAGTCACAGAAAGCCTAAAATTATATAACGTATGATAATGAGTGCCCCCCCGCGCTAGCGCCCCCCGATTCGTACCGGCAACTTTATTTCATCTGACTGTTCTTTCAGCCATGGCCGCTGCTGGGACTAGTGGAGGGAATGTCGAGCTTTTCATTAAACACTTCTCATATCTCGGAGGATCGGCGTGAAACGGAACTCATACTACAACATTGCCGACCAGCAGTAGCGCAAAGCACCCATCTCATCCTCGTGATTATTCCATTTTATAAGCCAACCATTTATTTTTCAGTCGTTCCACACTCGCCTGCGGCTCCGTGATCAACTCATAACACACGGCGTAGTAAGACTAACGCGGGAGGGTTTTTTTGAGCCCGGCCGGGTACCGAGTATACGATAGATCGTTCTATAGAGAATACAAATTACAGGGTGCCCCCCAAAAAGCACCCGTCCGCGATTTGATCCCCTGACAGGGTCTCCCAAAAATACCCGGGCAAAAAGTTTACCTGAATGAGTTTTTGACCGAAAACGGGGGGGGGCGGGGTTGGGGCATCTGTTCTTATCTGTACCAGCAAGTAACGAATCCTACCTTATATAATTTTGGTACCGCGACACTTGCGGCGCGACACTTGCGGCTGCGACACTTGCGGCGCGACACTTGCGGCGCGACACTTGCGCCCGACACTTGCGGCGCGACATTTGCGGCGCGACACTTGCGCCCGACACTTGCGGCGCGACCTTGCGGTTATTTAGTATAAGCTATATAAAAATATTTTCGGGTGTTATTTGATAAGCTGCATCCGAATTTGGTATTAAAAAAATTATAAAAAGTCGGGTTTGCGACCGAAGTCGCTCAATTTGGAGGGAAAGTGGCCGCTATTTCCTCCGCTCTGCGACTAAAAAAAGGCTTCGTGCCACCCGGGGCCTAGTCGCTTCGGATGGGTGCGAGCTCGTACAGGGTTTCTAAATCGGGGCGCCCGAGGAGCGCGAAGCGCCCAGGTTCGCATTCGACAATGATTTTCACATGGACTTCTGGCATCAGCAAAATATCCGGATATTGGAGCTGGAGATCGGAAATACGTTATGCCTCGGTGTAGACGAGACACCGCCATACCCTCCTTGCCATTCACTTCCTTACCTATGTCAGGTAACTAAAAGCTTTAAAGTTTGTCCTTCGCATGCCATGGGCGGGGTGTGAACAGGGGGCGTAGCCAGTAAAAAAATTCGGCGAAAATTTCTCGTTGCTGCTAATGCTTCCAAATTTGTCGAGTAGGTTCCATTCTCCTTATTCTTGTCCACGGCCTTTTAAACACTAGCGATTTTATATTTCAGCAATTCATCGAGCAAGAACGATTTCCCACTCAACATCCATTTGGAAAAGTTGCCGTCAACTGTGTCATTGGACTGCCACATCTAATCTGCCAATTCCAGGTAGAGAAATTGTGAAAAATTAGCAAACAGCCCGCGTTACTCTTTTTTATTCATGCCCATTTTCAGGCCTATCTGAAGGCACGGACAAATAATTTCGTCAGTTTAACGGGGTCAAATGGACTTGATCGGTTTTCTCGGCTGCTAAAGCATTTTTATGTGTACGACACAATCCCTCAGCGAAATAACGCAAAACAAAGAGACGATCGGAAAACCTCACAGCTTTTACTTTCTCAAACAATAATATGCAACCGATCGTCAAATGCAGGGTATCCTAAAAAAACATCCCCCTCTAACTCGATGCAGAAGCATCGAACCGGAATGGTAGTTACACCATTCGATAGCCCTTGAAACGGCCAGTTTGCAACAAGCTTCAAACCCATGTTTTTATTTAAATCGGTATTTTATAAGCCATTTTTGTAATATTTTGCGCATTCGGGGTTGCAAACGGGCTAATTTCCTCAATTTCTCCATACAAAATGGCCGGAAGTGGCCGTTAATTAGATGTAGAGGCCGTTCCTTAATGCTTTCCAAATGGTTATAAAATGTCGGGTTTAAATAAAAACATGGTTCTGAAAATTGTTGCAAATTCGCTGTTCCAAGGGCTTTCGAATGGTGTAACTATCATCCCGATCCCATACTTCTGCGTCGCGTTAGAGGGGGTGTTTCTTTTTCTGGGGCCGCCTGTACAGGATGTCCCAAAGATAAATCGATCCAGACTGAAAATACGAATTTAAATAATTCAGATTTTGCCCTTACTTCCGTAGAATTAGTCGAGGGTCCGGTTATTTTCAAAAGAACCGGGACTGGGATTCGGACCTGGACACCAATGCGGGGGGTCCGGGTCCGATCCGGGGGGTCGGGGTCCGGCTCTAATCCGGGTCCTAAATGACCATCCCTGGATGTGAGTACTATTTTAATCATTTAACATGGATCGGCTAAAGAAATGGTCAACGCTAAGCCTTAGGTACTTTTCAACACCAACTACCCCAACATGCGTTTTTTCATCGAAGGCGCCAGCCTCTACTACAAACAAATGCAGAATCCAGTCAATGGTTAGTGGTCGAAATTTCGTTTTATTCGGATACAGGATGAAGCGTCCAGTGAGTGTTCAGAGTAGAACACTGCATAAGTTGAACAGTTTACAACGGAACAATGCGTAGAATAGTCCCGGCAATACGTTGTTTCGCCCGAGAAGCTAAAAAAAATTCAGCTGATTTTGGATGTTTTTGCATTATTCGGGGTGAGAAATTTTTTCTAAGGGTTCAAGTGCAGCAGTTTACCCGGCCTTTCGGCCAGTTTTCGGGCTGCTTTTTGGCATGGCGGTGGCGTAACATATCCTCTTTATAAAGTTTTTTTGTACTTCAAAAATTCCTTCATTTAGCGCTTTTAAAGACAAAAGGGGGCAGTCCCTTCACATTTTGGGCAAAAAAGCTTTGTTCGGAGGATATCGGGATTGCCAAACCGAATAGACGCTGATTTTTGGGGGGTCGAAGGATCCAGAAAATATCTAGATATAATAATTTGTTGGATTTTCCGTAATTCCTTAAAAAATAGGATTGTTTGAGCATTTTGCTGCGGAGTTCTTGACAAATTTCCTTAAACACCGTGATCTCGGGGCGACAAGTCGAAGCCCAGTTGGAAGTTGGTTGAAGCCCATACAGGGTCCCCCAAAAAAAATGAGCTAAAGGGCGCCTAAAACGAAAAAGTTGCACAGGGCTGACGAGACCAGTTTCCCAAGTTTCTGGAAAGGGACTGACTCCCTCTCGGACCAATGAAAGCCTTCAATTTGCATATTTCTTCCCGAATCCCATACCATGCCAATCGACGCCGAAAGCCATCTCGCGGAAAACCATCTAAACGGAAATCTGATCTTCCGTGCAAATTCGTCAGATTTTCGATAGATTTTCATTTCGTTCCGGTTTCATTGCCTTTCGCCCTCAAGTGATAGCGCAAGTGGCAAAGCCGTGAAAGACAACAAAAACCAACTTTATTTACCTTCGTGATTTGGAGGATAGGCAGAACTACCCAGATAAAATTTGCACGCGAAATGAACTTTTTCGGCGAATTGGTCTTCGGTGAAATGCTGTTAGGCGAAACGCAGATTACCCGATCTAATCCATCCTGATAATATGGTTTCTAGCATTGACCTGCGCCATATGCGAGATGTCCTTTGTGCACAAGCTAGAAATGCCCATGCGCCCGCTACGCTTCTTCACCTGCATGATGTCAATTGATCCGATCGCATTCCTTGAAAACTAATCCCAGGTGGGATTCAGACTCGCGATACAACCGGCCAATTTAAGTCCCAACTCTTATAAACGGTTTATATATTCTTGGAACCCAGAGCATTTAAAGGGCTGCCGACGGATTTTGACTACAAAACGCTCCAAATGCCATTTTTAAACTCCGAAGCCTCTGGAAAAGCTAAGCTAAGCATAAGCCTAAACTTAGCTTCATACCAACGAAGCCTAAGCTTAGCTTTAGGCTAAGCCCTAAATGACCTCATTTTGACCTCGTAAGTCAATTTAAAAGGCCATCCGCCAGTTACTCGAACAGGCCTCATACAAGCTTGGCACAGTTTTTTTCGACCACTTTTTTATGACGTCGTCTGAAAGAGCATGGTCGAATTAGTAGAGTGGGATGGTTTTGAAAGTTTTAAAAGTTTAATTTTGGGGTTAAAATGGGCCTCAAAGTTGCCGACACCGAAAAAATATCTCAAAAACTACTGAATGGAATTTGCTGAAACTTTGTGACAATCCCTAATTTGGGTCGGGGAACATTTTTCTAATACATTGCAAACCCTGAAAGTGGCCGGAACATAGGTATATTGCGTACTAAAAACAGTTTTTCCGAAATTAGTAGTTTTACGGGTGATCGCTGCATCTAGCGATTAGTGCCAAAAGATGCGCCAAAATTTTCTCTATCGATAGATGTATCTTTTAAAATGCAACGAGCACCCGTAAAAACCGAAAAAACGAGTTTAATGTGGGGCCAACGCACCAAATTCGGCAAATTTTTGCGGGGGCGACATGGCCATGTCTCAGGAGACCAAGTCTGGAAGTTTGCAAAAAAGAGCAAAAAGAAATTCGCTTTCTAAAGGTAGGCTGGGATTGATCTAGAGCAGCCCCAGCGCAAGGGTCCCGACCCACTACCAATGCACCACAGCGACAGCCGAACAGGCCTGCAGCCAAAGCGGCCGCCGGAGGCCACTCTCTCACTTTTCCCCACTATCTCGCCCACTCTAGCCCATCTTCTCGACGAATTCTTTACCGAAATGGCCGAAATTGAGGCTCTGGCGACCCATTCAGGACGATTTTTCGGTTTTTACGGGTGCTCGTTGCATTCTAAAAGATAAATCAATCGATAGAGAAAATTTTGGTGCATCTTTTGGCACTCATCGCTAGATGCAGCGATCACCCGTAAAACTACTAATTCCGGAAAAACTGTTTTTAGTACGCAATATACCTATGTTCCGGCCACTTTCAGGGTTTGCAATGTATTAGAAAAATGTTCCCCGACCCAAATTAGGGATTGTCACAAAGTTTCAGCAAATTCCATTCAATAGTTTTTGAGATATTTTTTCGGTGTCGGCAACTTTGAGGCCCATTTTAACCCCAAAATTAAACTTTTAAAACTTTCAAAACCATCCCACTCTACTAATTCGACCATGCTCTTTCAGATGACGTCATAAAAAAGGGGTCGAAAAAACTGTGCCAAGCCTTGGTCGGGCCTCTCGCAAACGGCCTTTTAAAGCTCAAGATAAGCTTAGCATGGGCTTAAGCTTAAGCCTAAACCGAAGATAAGCATAGTTAAAGCTAAGTTTCAGCAAACCCCCCCCCCCCGGTCACCACTGTCAAAACATTCAAAAATCGCAGCTATAACAGCGCCGCAGGCCGCAAAAAATAAGGAAAAAGCGTTAGAAACGCTCAAATTCATGTAAAAATCTCTAAGGCTAAAAAGAGTCTTTTTAAAAAAAAGGGCTTTTGGTTTTCGCAAAAAGAGACGAATTCTCGTGGCAACAAAAAGAGCTAAATTCCTTTCAAACTCTCAAAAATGCCACAGAATGCGGGAACAACAAAAAGCTGCTGGCTATTTGAAACCTTAGTAAACTCGGTACCATCCCAGATCACAGGATAGGTCCACAGAGTAATTTCAAGAAAGTGCAAATCGATCATAATACAGAAATTATTTTCAAACCGAAACAGCTAGAAACTAGATCTGTCCATTTTAATAAGGTGCCAGCAACTTTTGGTTGATCCCACATTCTGTGGCATTTTTGAGAGTTTGAAAGGAATTTAGCTCTTTTTGTTGCCACGAGAATTCGTCTCTTTTTGCGAAAACCAAAAGCCCTTTTTTAAAAAGACTCTTTTTAGCCTTAGAGAGAATTTAGCCCTTTTTGCCTCAATCTTATTGTTAAGATCGTAAAATAAGCCAAGGAATACTTATTCAGATGAACCCTTGTACGCAAAACTTCAAAAAAATTTGCCTGCGGCGCTTTGTAACGTTACTAAAAACCTTAACGATGCATTCGGGCCAATCGGCAAAAACGAAGTTGCGGGCGGGGTTCGAACTCGGGAGCCAAGTCTTCCCAGTACAGCGTGCTAACCACTAGGCCAACGGGGGAGACTGGAACCCTGTCTTGGGGAAGCTAGACCCGCCCGCCCTGGCTCGGGACTGGGGTCGCCAAAGGGGAGGGTGGCGCCCCGTATGGCGAAGGTTTAAAGTTATAATATCTAAGAGAAGAAGGATTCTTTCGATGTAATTTCTTCTTTACTTTATCCGGCATGGTCTAATGCATATTTGAGCAAAATTTCAGCCCAAACGGACATCACTAACCCTTGTTTTGGCCGCAATTTAGCTTTTAAACTTAAAAATTAAATATAAATTTTTTAAAAGTCTATTTTGAAAAAAACTCTTCTTGCGGTCCGAGATTATCATTCACCCAATAACTGTGCAAAATTTCAGCCCAAACGGATGGTGGGAAGGCACTTTTTGACGACTACATAGGTTTT